TTTTTCCGATCAATAAATTATTTACGAGTTTTTTGGTTTCCAAACACATGTGCTAAAATTTTTAGAGGGCGGCCTTTTTATTATTGATTCCTAATGGCATGAAATTTTGATCAGAGGGAATGTGATCTGTGTAACAGCAATTTTTAGTATGATGAGACTTCTTTGTGACTCCAAATTAGTTATGTTTTTGTAAAAGTTCTGTGTGCTTTATTTTTTTGTTAATCCTCAGCCAAGGATATTTTTCCCATTGATTTTTAGAGAGAGTAGAAGCGGGGTGAAGGTGGGGGAGGGGCGGGCGGGGGGGAGGCCAGAAGGGAGAAAGAGAGAGAAAGAGAAACATCAATGTGAGAGAGACACATCAATTGGTTGCCTCCTGCATGCACTGGACCATGGCCGGAGACTGAACCTGCAACCCAGGTACGTGCCCTTGACAGGGAATTGGACCTGAGACCCTCTGATGTGAAGGTGACACTTTAACCAAGGAGCCACACTGGCCAGGGCTATATGCTTTATTATATGTGGGTATTATCTTTGTTTGATCATTAGATTAAGATTGCTAGTTGGGTTCAAACTTTTTATCCATTCTATCAGCTTTTAAGAGAGGAAAAAAATCTCCTACTATGGTTAGGGATTTGTAAATTTCTTCTTGTAAGGCTGTCTTTTTGTCTTGTTTGAGTTTTTGTTTTACGTGCAGAGGTTCAGCATTTTCTGGTATTGAATCTTTCTTTCTCTAATAATGTAAAGATTCCTATTATCTTCAATAAAGCCTTTTTGCCTTAAAGTCTGTTTTAGTCTATATTAATATTCTTATATCAACTATTAGCTTCTTTTAAAAGCTAATGTTTGCTTTGTTTTCTTTTTCTGTTCCATTTACATTTAATTGTCCTATGTCTTAAAATCTAAATAATAATATTAATAAAAATAGCTAAAATATGTATTGAAACTTACTGTATGCCAGGCACTATTCTAAATTCTTTTATGTATTAAATAATTTAATTCTCGTAATAATCCTGACAATTTCCCCACTTTATAAGGAAGCAAACAAAAACACAATTAAAAAGTCAATTTACAGATTTTCCAACTGCTCCCTGAAAATTACAAGGATCTTAAATCACTAACTCCTTTCTGCTCCCTCATCTATCTTCTATGCTATTATGAAATATTATTTGTTTTTAACTCACCACATGTCATATTGTTTGTCTTTTGCTTTATAGTCAGCACATTTGTATTCATATTTTAGTCATTAAGTTTACAATTAAGAATTACTAATTTGTTTGCTAATTAATTTTTCACCAGTATGCTTTGCATTCCATTCCTTTACCTGAGGTTTGGTTTGCTTCTTATACAGTACATTCTTCAGTAATCCTTTCAAGGGAGTATCTGTTAATGGTAATTCTTAGACTTTATCTGAATATACCTTTATTTCATCTTCACTTCCTGAATAAAAAAATCAGCTGTGATTTTAGGCTGGTATTATTATTCCATTTCCTGCTGTAATGAGGAGAAGTCTACTATCTGTCTGTCATTCCCTTGTAGGTAATTTGTCTTTTCTCTGGTTGCTTTTAAAATTTTCTCTTTGTCTTTAATGCTCTAGAGTTCAGCATGATATGATTAGGTATGGATTTGTTTTAGTTCATCCTGCTCAGACTAAGCATACTACCCTAATCTGAAAATTCCCATTTTTCCTTAATTATGAAAAACTGATGGACACAGACAATAGTGTGGTGAAGGCCTGGTTAGGGAGCGGGAGTAGAAAGGAGGGGGGTAAAGGGACAAAAAAAAGGGGACATCTGAATACTCTCAACAATAAAGATAGATAAAAAAACTGAGAATTCCATAGAGCCTTTGTTTTATATGGGTTAGATCTATCAATCTTTACCATATAATAAATTAAAATAGAGAACATTAAAAAAAAAAAAAAGAAAGAAAAACGGATAGTCCTTGTATCTTATAATACTGGTTCTGCCCCATTCTCTCTACTTCCTCCTTGTGGAACTCCTATTTGACATAGGTTGGAGCTTCTTCCTCTATCATTTTTCTGCATTGTTTGATCATATTCTTTTATATCTCTGTGATGTTACACTGTTGCAGTATGGGTGATTTCTATAGATCTATTATGTAACTTACAAGTACTCACTTTAACTATACAGATTTATTGTTTATCCCGCTACCTTAATTATCTAAAAATAAGTCTGGGATCCGGCCCGTTTGGAATGAATAAAACTAAAAAAAAAAAAGCCCGTACCCTTTTATGTAATGATGTTTACTTTGAATTTATATTAGTTCACACAAACACTCCATCCATGCTTTTGTTCCGGCCCTCCGGTCCAGTTTAAGAACCCATTGTGGCCCTCGAGTCAAAAAGTTTGCCCACCCCTGGTAGTGGGAGAAATCACCAAGTCCAGTCAAAGGGTTAAGTACTGGGACGGTGACTCAGGCAGGGACTCGGGATTCCAGGGAAGTCTCCTAGCCTGGGATGGGATGGAATGAGGGTAGGGGCTGAGCTGAGTCTTTTTAAAGGAGCAAGAGTCAGTCTGGTGACATGCAGGGGACATGGCACTTCAGACAGAGGGGAGAGCATAAGTAAAAAGAGTAAAAACAGAGGAGAGGACAGCACCGTGATGGCGAACCTTTTGAGCTCGGCGTGTCAGCATTTTGAAAAACCCTAACTTAACTCTGGTGCCGTGTCACATATAGAAATTTTTTGATATTTGCAACCATAGTAAAACAAAGATTTATATTTTTGATATTTATTTTATATATTTAAATGCCATTTAACAAAGAAAAATCAACCAAAAAAATGAGTTCACGTGTCACCTCTGACACGCGTGTCATAGGTTCGCCATCACTGACCTAGACCCAGCTTATTCTCTTTGTCTTTTCTTTAATCCTTCGCCACCCCCCCATCAGGCTCACCGAACCCTTGGCTGTGTTGGCACAGCACCGTATGTGTGTTTATATCTTAAATGTATGAGGTGGAATCGGTCACCTCATTTTTGGCCCATGCAGAGTAAGTAGAGGGATGACGTAGAATCAGATTTTTCCTCTTTTCATAACTACAAATGGATTTACATTTAATATTAAGTCATCTGTTGACATACAACATGGTTCAGATGTATATAGAATGTACATATCAATACCCGGAGCAAGGGTATTCCAGACTGAGAGAACTGTAAGTACAATGACCTTGTGGTGGAAAGTGGCTCAGCATGATTAACGAATAGCAAGAAAGAATAGCTAAAGTAGTGTAAACTTGGGAAGGTTAGTAGAAAATGAGGCAGGTGATATGCTCAGGTATTAGATGATGTATGGCCTTAAAAGTCATAATAAGGTTTTGAATTATATCCCAAGTATGATAGGAAGTGAGTAGTACCTCAAATGTCCTTGAAAATGTTAGATAAAAGTGTGTATTAAAACTGTACCTTATGTTTTGTATAATATTTAAAAAGTGAGGATTGTTAATAGAAGTTATGACTTCATTTGGAACTTAATTTACTTCATAACAGTCAGGCTTTCTTATTTCTAAAATATGTATGAGATGACATAATCTGATATAAGAGCCTAGACAGAATTCTCCTACTTTGAGACTTCTGTATGTGATATACATATAACAAAGAGTATATAAAACACAGTTTTAATGAATAATTATAGTGAACCAGTGTAGCCACAAGATAGACTAAGAAATAGAATATTACCAGCTCCCCAGGAAACCTTGCTATATGACTTTTAAAAAAAGAGCTTACTTAGTACTATAATCTGTGATAATTATCCACTTAAATGTCAACTGGAATCATGTGACCAGTCTTTTTATAGGCAAAAGGAATGTTCCCTTAAGTCCATATTTAATTTCAATATGGAAATTAAATACAGATCCACTTAAAATCTATTCACATTTCAGTATAGAGAAGTGCCATCTCTAAGGCACTAATTTTTATTTTTAAACATAAGTTATATCAAGTGTATAAAAAACAACTATAGAACTTGAAGAAAATGTATACATCTTCATATATTTTTGTGAAAGCAAATCTAACAGTGATAGTTTTAAGATAAAAAGCATTTGATTAAAGTAAAATAAATGTCATTTAAAAGTTTAAGATCTCATTATGGGTTTCATTACAACAAATTAGGTAAAATGAGAAGACTTCTTTGTTTCTGTGTAGCTTCTAGTATATGCTTAGCACTCAATAAATGTGAAACAATAAAATATGAATTAGGCTAATCACAGCATATCTTAAATATATTTTATTAAATTTGAGCCTACTTAAAATTTTATATTATAGAAACTTGACATGCCACTGATTCATAACCTTTTCCAGTATTAAAAATTAAACCTATGAAATCTAGATTTCTATATCTTTTAAATAAACATTTAGCAGTAAACTACCAAAGAAGAAAAAATATGTATGGTAAAATGTAAACTAACAATACTTTAAAATAAAAAAATTAATATTAAATTAGGTTATTCTCTTATGGAAAATTCTACAAACCTTTTGCAAATTCATTTAAAATAGTAAAAAAAAAAAAGAGAAGGGAATGAAATGTAATAAATAAAGGCAGCTATATAAAGATACACAAAATGTGAATAAAACTAAATGGACAACATGTATAAAAATAACATTTAGAAGTATCATTCTTAAACTGTATAGTGCAGCGGTACCTGAATTATGTGCCCTTTAATTTATGCACATGATGGATAGCTTGTTAAGAGGCATATCTGTAACCATTATAATTGATAGTAGCTGAAGGCAGCCAGGCCATAATTTCTATTTAATGGATGGAATAGAAAGGGAACAAAGTCTGCAGCAGCATTTTAAAATAAGTGCCTAGAAAGTTTACATTTATGTCCAAAGTAATACCTATATTCTAGCCTTTTCTATGTTGAATTCTTTAAGAAGAAAAAAATCAGCTGCAGCAATATTCATGTATTATTAAATCAAAATTTTGATTTAACCAATAACCTGAAAAATATTACAGTAAGTGGGAAAGAATGTTTAACTAACCATTTGTAGGTCCATTTTTGTGCTCTTGTTCTTTAGAGTTTGTGGGAGAAGCATATGGGCTCAATCGACAAGTTCCAGTTGATGGAGAATAATTTGTAAAACCTCTCTTCCTTGTGATTCTTGAAGGCTCAAATGACTGCAAATAAACATTAATTTGAGACAAAAATATTTATGTTTAGTTATAGATCTTTGAAAACTCAGAAAATTTAACCAATACACTTTTTCTTATTCTTTCTTTTGGATTTTAGGTATAGTCAATTATTACCTACAAAGTGCACACTATTTTTCAAGTTATGTAGATATATTAGGTCTCCACACTAACTAGGCATCTCAATTTGCTATTTATAAAATTTTAACATTAAAAGTTTATTATCTTCTAGATACTATTTCCAAACAAGCTAGAGATAGAGGTAGCTGACTCTCCCAATTATATCCTGACTTTTGCTGTCAGTTGAACCAGAAGTAATAATGGGGCCAGGCCAGGGAAACTCTCAGATGTCGTAATAAATCCCACAAGGAAATCCCAGGAAGGATCAGTAATGTCCTAAACCTTCACCCAGTTGCTCTGTCACAGTGTCTTGTCTTATTGATAACCAAAATAATGTTCAAACAATTGAGTATGGAATTTAAGGTATTTGAGAATTTGGCCTATCTTACACAAATCCTCACTGCAGCTCCCTCCTCTGTGTTCTCATACTTCCTATTGGAGCTAGCAAATTTTTAAGTTTCTGTTTGCCTCCCTAAAATTTGAGTTCTTGAAAATAAATATCATTTCTTCATGTTTGTACCCTAGGGCTCAAAACTGTGTGATGAATAAATGACTTAAAAGGAACAGTCCAACAATATGCAGATGATGTATCATAGAATTATACACCAAAAACCTATATAATTTTATTAACCAATGTCACCCCAATAAATTCAATAGAAGAAAAAAAAAACAGAACAGTCAAATAAATTTGGCCAAGCCACTCTACAAATTCATTCTTTAGTTGATTCATCCAATATTAAATGGCACCTGTAGTCCCAGTATCTAGATTATGTACATTTGGGCCTTAGCCCTCTCGCTTTTATCTTCCCTGGGACTTAGTCTTTGGTTTAGGTCCCTATTCATGATCCACTTCTTCCAAATACCATTACCACACTATTAACTGCTTGCTCTTCTTAATTCCCTTTGAACTTGTTTTCTATAATGCTTACTAATCACCCAGCACTTGCTAACTAATGTATACAAAGAAAGAGAATAAACTGTTCTGGTCTCAGATAGTAAGGTTGTATGTGTGCTAAAGAAACTAAGGGGAGAGAGAAAATCAAAGTGGGCTGCAGTAATCTCACAGAACAATTCTTGTGAGAGTAAAGGGTGAGGCTTAGATAAATGAAAATAAAATTATGAAAGACCTGAAATCTAGATGTAAAACAGACATAATAGGGTAGATTTGGGGGATAAAGGAAAGGTCTGAAGGCTCAGGAGATGTTGCCACTGTAGAATTGAACTTAGCTTGGTAGCTGTCTTGAAAATTATATAATTCTCCACTGTCAACTATTCTTTATTTTTAAGACACCATGGCAGAAATAGTGGCTGTGTCACATTTTTCAATAATCTTGGTATTAGTTCCCAAATCTGTAGTATCAACTTTATTTTACAGTTAAGATTTTAAATGATAAATACTTTGTATTGAGGGAACAAAAGCATTCCATTCTTTATTTTATGTACCCATAGTAGCCACAAGTGTAACCAATATCTTTTTAAAAAATAAAACTATAATATCAAGTTATAACTCTAACACAATCTTTTTTGTAGGGTGAAAGGGTTTTAAGTTTCTTTATCAGGTGGTTATTATTACCTCTCCATCTTGAGTTTTCACCTGTTTATATGTATTCAGTCATAAACTATGACATTTATCCAATCCTACCCTACTTTCCCAAGAATTTATTGTCCAGAACTATTTCACTGTGTATGTACAAGAAATGAAAGTCACTACCCTAATGTACATTTATGTCAATCTGTTTTCCTATTTTCACCAAAAAATTATTTTTTCCAATTGCCAAATATCTAAACATTGTAACTGTAGATCATACATTTCTCCTTGAAAACAATTTTCTAGCTTTCATAAAATAAGTCTTTGTGTGTGCACGTGTGTGTGTATTTTTTTCTTCTCTCACCTTAAAAATACTGAGGTGCCTCTTTTTTCCTTTTTAGTATCTGTGTTGGTTAAAAGGAAAAATACCTGTTTACAATTATTATATATAGAGTAATACATACTATCCCACTAAATATTCTTCAGTAAATAATTTTTATAAATCGGCCTACTGATATACACGAAGGCGTATTTTACTTCTGTAAGTCTCCTCTCTCTGAATGTTGTATCAAGATCCTCTTTTAAACCTTAAAGATGCTTAAAAGTGACCCTAGAATTGATCTGAGACTGCATTCTGCCACCCCCCAAATGTTGAAGGACATGGCCTACTGATTAGTATCCCACAACAGGAAGAGTTAAGAAGACTGGTGTTTGTAAGCTGTTTCTAGTGTTTTTTCCATACAAACTACTTGTCTTGGCTCATGCTGCAGACTTTCTTAAAATCTTTCAAACAAGCAGCATCTGGCCTTGGGGAGCCTTGTACCTCTTGCTAAGAGGCCCTAGGCCCAGCACTAGGCAGCCAGCCTTGGTTCATGGCTTGGCTCTCCTGGGCACTTCCAAGTCCAGCACAACTAGCAGCTCTCTGCAGATCTCTTTGTAGCTCATGCCAGGTGGTCCCAGGCAGGGCACACGCAGTGACTGACCTTGGCCTGCACCTCCCAGGAGGCCCCAGAACCAGGGCACCCAGTGGACAGCTTCAGACCATGCCAAATAACCACCCAACTACCTCCACAAGCAACACACTCAAGGGGTGGACTCAGGGAGCATTTGAGATCTTGCTCCCTGGCATGTGTCATCGGTTTGGCTCAAATAAACTCTTATAAAAATTCTCCACAGGTTTGGCATCAACATTTACTTGGTAACTGGAAGTAATCTGAAGAAGCCCAACCAGGACCAGCCCATGGACCTGGATATGGTGCTAGGTACAAGCAAGGTCCCATTGTGCCCCACTGGCTCCTTGCTTTGTATCAGGAGATGAAGACTTTAAAGGTCACTGACTGCTATCTGGAGATACTGTTTATTGGAAAGGACATCTAATAAAAGACACACGCCAACCTAAATGTGAATGAACATCTATGCCTGTCTGCGGACGTTAAAGACTCCTTGAGGATGAGGAGTCACTGACACAAAGGCAGACAGCTATCCCAAGTCATTGGCAAGGCCTGTATATGTACAGATTGATATTGAACTCAGAATCTTTTTGTTTGTCTTTCCCTGTCTGCTAATGATATTAGTCATAATAATAGTTATATTTGTTCTTTGGGTTTTTCTATATAGTCCAAATGTTTACGATTACTGAGCATGTATATGATATCTGTTAATCCTCTTTCATGGCTCATGCAAATGTTATACTTAATGCCAAATACTGAAAGATGAGAAGGCAAAACTCGAATCATGATAGTTCAGAACAAGAGTGTTTTTTCACAATGAAGGCCATAAGACCTTACTGCCTTCCATTTACCTGCCCTTCCTTTTTTGGGAAATATTCTGCCTTGACTCAGGTCCCATATTACAGTATTACCCCATCCACAGTGGTGCACAAGACAATGTCAATACTGAGACTTCCTAGGAATGAGCCTTTCTACTGCTGTGAGACCACACTATCCAACCCAAAGGTTGGTCATCAATGCATCCTTCGGGCTGATTTCTGACCAAAAGGGGCAACCGTGGAGGAAAAAAGGGGTTCTATGAAAAGTAACCTCACAGAATGATCTGATCAAATTCCTAACTGATCAAGTCATGGTGGGTAGTAAAAAACCAGACCTATAACTTCTTTACTGAAAGGTTTTAGGGAGGCCCTGCCCATTATTCTTGTGCGCCTAAGTCAGGGATGGGGAATGTCCACCCCGTAGGCCCTATAAGACCTAAGAAATCATTTGGTCTGGCCCTGCCAAGATTTATCAAAATTCAATAAATCTAGGAGTTTTCATAGCAACATGAATTTATATTAAGCAAATAATGTTATAAATACCCAAATGGCCCTTAGCAGAAAAAAGGTGCCCTACCCCTGATCTAGGTTAACACACCTTTGAAATGCAAGTGGTGTATTAACCCTCAAGAGACCACATACTTGCCCTAGTTCGTTTGGTTCAGTGGATAGAGCGTCAGCCTGTGGACTGAAGGGTCCTGGGTTCGATTATGGTCAAGGGCACATGCACAGGTTGCAAGCTTGATCCCCAGTAAGGGTTGTGCAGGCGGCAGCCAATCAATGATTTCCTCTCATCATTGATGTTTCTCTTTCTCTCTCTCTCTCTCTCCCCCTTCCTCTCTAAAATAAAAAAAAAAAAGAACACATACTCTTGTTAACTACCATATAAACCAATCCCCACCTCACTTTCTCCAATCTTCACATCCCCTCCTTAATTTCAAATGCATAAAAGAAACTGCAAAACTGTTTTTCTCAGGAACATTTGAGATCTTGTTCCATGGCTTATGTCATCAGTTAAACTCTTATATTTAAACTCTTATATTTAAAAAAAGGGGGCGAACACAGTGGGCACCAGAGCCACACTAAAGTGAGTCCTGCATGAAGTTGGTCTCTACAAAGCAGATCCTCCACGGTGGTCATGGCCAGTCCTCCTAATTGATCAGCCTGGGGGTAAATCCTTCTCACTGATGTGCCCACAGCAATCAAGGCTCAACCACAACAGAAAGGTGCATATAGCCCACAGGGGATGCTGCGTGGTTGAAGTGTCCAGCTTGGGTGACTGGGGAGGCTGTGCCATTGGGCATACAGGACATCTACTACATAAGGTGACTCTATGGAGACCAGGAGACATAGCAGCTCTACCTAATACATAGATATAAACACAGGGAGGCTGCCAAAATGAGGAGACAAAGAAACATGTCCCTAATGAAAGAACAGAACAAAACTCTAAAAAAAGAATGTAACAAAATGGAGACAAACAATCTAACAGATGCAGAGTTCAAAACACTGATCATAAGAATGCTCACTGAACTTAAGGGAAGAATAGGAAAAATGAGAACATCAATAAGACCATTTTGGGCCTCTTGAGGTGATGTAACAGGAACTATACAGATTACCTATGAGGAGGCACTTCTTTTTTTTTTTTTTAATATACTTTATTGATTTTTTACAGAGAGGAAGGGAGAGAGATAGAGAGTTACAAACATCGATGAGCTGCCTCCCGCATACCCCCCACTGGGGATGTGCCTGCAACCCAGGTACATGCCCCCGACCGGGATTGAACCCGGGACCCCTGAGTCCGCAGGCTGACGCTCTATCCACCGGTTTTGGCATATGAGGCACTTCTTACCAAACATTTGAACCAGAATCTAATCAATCCTCTATCTCTAACTACCATTTCTATAGGGAATAGGAAATATGAATAGAGAAATCATTTAAAGGATACCACAAGATTTTGGTTGATTAACCAAACCAGAATTTGGAAGATGCTTATAGAATAAATATCTGTCTTTCTCAAAAAATAAATTACAAGAAAAAGAGTAACATTTAAAAAGTTTCAAAAAGACTTAAAATATATAAGAACCATTACAATGTATAAACCTTTTTTAATAAGCCAACTATAAAAGGACATTTTGAAACAACCATGGAAATAGGAATATTACCTTGGTGAAAGATATTATTAAGAAATTACTATTAATTTTGCAAGGTGTAATGGCACTATGATCATGAAAGAAGTAATTATCTACTAGAAATGCATACTAAAGAATATTCTGATGAAATGACATGCCTAGGATTTACAAGTCTATATAGCATGTTACTGCTCAAAACAACATGAGACTAAATCAAGTGCAAGAAAAAATGATGCAATCAGAAGACAAAGTAAACATGAGATGTATGAAGCTGTGGCTGGCATAACACGGCATAGTGTCTTATAGCAAACTTTTTTCTTTTACCAGTAGAAAGAGAATACTCTAAAATACCAATAAAAGTAGAAAATATATAAACCAGTAACATAGTTATTTATTATTATGTACTAGAGGCCCAGTGCACGAGATTCGTGCACAGAGGGGGGGGGGTCCCTCAGCCCAACCTGCACCCACTCCAATCGGGGACCTCTCGGGGGATGTCTGACCGCTGATTTAGGCCCACTGGAATTGGGCCTAATCAGGCGGTTGGATACCCCTCTCACAATCTGGGACCGCTGGTTCCTAACCCCCACCTGCCTGCCTGATTGCCCCTAACCCCTCTCCCTGCCTGATCGCCCATCATCTCTCTGCCTGCCTGCCTGATCGCCCCTAACTGCCCTACCCTACCAGCCTGATCGCCCCTAACTGCCTCTGCCTGCTTCACCCTAACTACTGCCCTCCCCTGCCGGCCTGATCTCGCTCCCAACTGCCCTCCCTACAGGTCTGATCTGCCCCCAGCTGCCCTCCTCTGCTGGCCAATTTGGTTTTGATTGGTCAGTTTCTATGCCAGTCAGCATCTCTGGGCCTACAACGGGGCCTGATCAGAAAGGCAGGGCTGATCAGCAGCCTTGGTGGAGGCTGGGAGAGAAATGGAGGGCGGCTGTTGGCCGGGAGAGAGAGACAAGTTCTGATCAACGGCTGCCACTGAGGCTATGGATCAGACCCTGACTCCCCCTCTACAGACCTCTCTCCGGGCCTGATCTGCAGCCCCTTAGGCAGTCAATGCTGGGTCCGGGCGTCCACAGAGGCCCCAGTCAGTGCTGGGTTACCATGGCAACCCAGCACTGCCTTCCGGTCTGGTCGAGCCTTCGCAACCAACTGAGCCACACCAGCCAGGGTTATCTTCCTTTTTTTAATAGTGTGTGTGTATATATATATATATATATATATATTTTGCAAAATTGGCAAAATGCTACTAATTATTGAAACAACATGGGAGTTCATAAAATCATTTGTCCTACTTTTGTATATGTTTGAAAAATTTCATAATAAAAAGGTAAACAAAGCAAGGAAGAAGGGAAGGGGAGGGAAGGAGGGAGAGGGAGAGGAGTAGATTTGAGGCCGATCAGGAAGTAAATCTACAGAATGTAAGCTATAAAAGTTCCTAATGCTCAGAAGCCTTGTCTTAGATAAGACAAGCGTAGGCCATGGGAATAAGCAGATTTAGAAGTGTCCTACCAATAGTAATGTAATAATCTATGCCCAAACCTGAATTGCCATTCCAGATTTCTAGCAGCATGCCGACTGAGTTTGTCTTAGCAGGAAATATGCTCCTTCCCTTCCCATTCGTAGCATCTGCTCCTTTCATTCCTTCTATGAGGTAGACTGAAAGGGATTGTGTCAAGCTGGCTAGGTCTACAACCAGGTAGCCAACTGTCCGTATAACATCATCTGGACTGATATTGGCAGCAGTTTGTAATAAATAATTCATTTTTGCTCATGAAAATTTATCAAGAAACAGTGCTTAGAGAACAAGAACTTGAGCAGCCCAAATACTATAGGTGATGATAAATTGAAACTTTCAGGACTCCTCACAATCCCCAAACAATTTGGAAGGTTCAGTAAGTACTGGTACTTGCAGTATACATTTTATATATTAAAGAAAGGTCACAGGGTATGATCCATACCTCTGCTTCCCATACTAGGAGAATGATTAAAAAAATGACTTTTGCAGACTTGCCCTAACATCACGGAGCATTAATCTGTAGCTCCATAGGAACACTGGGATATGAAAATTCCCAATATCTATGAGAGAGGAAATAGCAGATTAAGATAAACAGGCTCCACTTCAAACAAGTGGCATATAAAGGCTATCTCCTCTCCTTGGACACCAAACCCTTCTTCCTTCAGCATTGTATTGGTCAGGCAAAATGACCAAAAATTACTACTAGTCCCACTGTAGCTTACAGCAATATCTACTCTTAGAAGTCTAGCTCTGTGTTTCTTTTTGAATGTCTGATTTTCCTTTGCATGGGCTAAGACAGCCTCAATGGGATCACTGACATGTGGGTAGATTCTTGGGAGCCTGGCTGTTTCAGGGTTGAGTTGTTTCTGGAGTAGATGGAAGGATAAATGTAGCTGAGGAGAGAAGACTAGACTTAGCAGCAGCACAGAAGCTATCAGACCTAAGATGTGAATATAGAGTTGCTAACAAATGATTAGGTAGAGTACAAAAGCTGAAAATATCAGAAACAGATGAGAAATGATGAAGGCCCAGGCGAGGATGCTGAAAACTGGTATGTAGCAGGTGCTGGCCAAGCTAAGTCAACTGGTTTAAAGGTACAAATTGGGCCAAACAATGTATTTTTCTAATACAGGATATTAGCTGTGGCACTGGCTTCCTTGATACATCGTAATTTGGAAAGAGAAAAGAAAGGAAGGAAGGAAGGAAGGAAGGAAGGAAGGAAGGAAGGAAGGAAGGAAAGAAAAGAAAGAGAGGAAGAAAGGAAAGGAAGGAAAGGAAGAAAGAAAGGAAAGGAAGGAAAGGAAGAAAGAAAGAAAAGGGCAGAAAACCTGCCATGACGACAACTGTACTTCACAAAGAGGATAAATTCCTAAATGGCTATTCTTTTCCATTCGAATAATGTCACCATCTCCCAAAGAACAGTTTTGGGGCAGGAAAGAGCAGTATTCCATTTCAAGCTGGACTACTCATCTACCCAAATACCATTTTGACCAAAGAAACAGATGCAGAATTACAGTCACAGCTGCATTCTGTACAGAGCAAGTTGGATAATGGTACTCTAAATTGCTAATTACACTGCTAATGATTTTTTTAGTGGCACTGCAGTATTTTGCCATCTTTGTTTAAATTTTTTAAAAAAGCATTTAGGAACTTTTAAAAATGGTAAACTGTTAAATACCAGTGAGTCTTCCAAAAAAGAATTCCATATAAAACCATTTCTTGAAATGGTATTCTCCTATGGGATTTTGTAGCAGCCTATTTATTGACTAGCTATTTGTTTTAATTTACTTTCTCACCAATTTATTTGCACTTAAGATTACTGAGGCCATAAGTAGCTCAGTATTAGTGTTTGTATCTAGATCCATATTGGTATGAAAAGATAATAAACTAACATATGTCATGATATGCTGGAATTGGGAATGTGCTATGACTAAATTTACAAAAAGTAATAGCAACAGTACAATTTTATTTTTATTGTGACAACCATGGTGAAATTTATTACAGTGTTAGTATTTTATTGTTTAATCATGCCAGTGTAGCTGAAAAAGGTAATTACATTTTTGATATAAAAATGCTGTTAATGTTTTTATTTCAGATATTATAGATTATAGAATGTAGATTAAAACATTACCATTGTCCCATATTGTTTCTTGTGTATTTAAGTGGCAGAATATTTTTTCTACAAATAGTGAATTAATTTCTACTAAATTATTTCCATAATATTTCTAAATAATTTGCCTCTTAAATGAAACCTCAAGCTGGCCGGGAACTTCCATACATTAGATTTACAAAAATGTGTTATATGCAGAAAATTATGTACCAGTCACAATTATACTACAATGTTTTTTGATGATTTTTATATTTAGTAAGGTAAATTAGCTGTTAAAAAATTAAGACCACAATCTTACTATGCAATTATAAATTCATAAGTAAATACTTACATGTGCTTCGAATGGATCATCCAATTTCAGTGATCTTTTAACACTGCAAACAAAATATTTAAAGAAATCTTAGATTTGATGTGCTTTAAGTAACCAAATATTTAAGAGTAGTATATATATAAAGATTCTAAGTTACCTTCTCCAAGTAAAGTAAAATACCATAAGAAAGCAATTTTCAGAGCAATGAAACTTTTTAAAATGGCATATTTCAAGATGGAATCATAATTAAATATTTAAATGGATCTTTTATGCATATATGATTTTATATATGCATTATCATACAATTCAATCATTAGTCATATTATAAAATAATCTTAGTAAAAATTACTTATTTGTGTTCTAAAATAACACTAATAAAAATTATACAGAAGAGCAAAATAATTTACATACCTTCAATGGAGATACTGAAAGTACATTATTTGCACAAATAATGCACTATTAAAATAAAGGTATGAGCAAGGTGAAACAAGTTTTCCACATTTTTGTAGCTTTAAACATGATTCAATGCTACCAGACTATGACTTAACTGAGGAACAGATGCTCTATGTCTTTATAAGTCCCCAATCCATATGAAACTATTTTTTGTCTCCTTCGCTAAACTGATTCAGGAACATGCCAGGCTCTCTCTGTGCAAAATCTGTTCTGCTAAACTGGATGCCCAGCTGTTGGTGACAATGCTTAGAAAGGAAAGCTGAATATTTATAATACTTTATTTCATACAGCTGTCTTCTAAAGAGCAGTCATCAACATTTTATTGAATGCAGACTAAATGCTCAAAGGAGAAAAAGGTCAATATAAATTAAAACTAGTTTTCCCAGTGACAAATACAGAGTTATAAATATTTTCTTGATCCCTGAGAAATAGAAATTGTTATTTAAAATATTACAGAATTTGTGCATTAGGAAAAAAAGATTGTATTACAGCTAAAGGTTGCAGTATAGAAAACAAAAACTTATACATTCTAAAAATGACTATTCATAAATGACTGACTACTGACTTTCAAATAAGTGACAGGAGTGAGAAAAATAAAAGGGATGGACAATTTACAGAAATTACTGTTCATTAAATATTAAATACAAAAATTTTATCTAGAAAGGATTCACTTAAATTTGCTACTACATCTATATTAGCCTATTACATAACATTATTTCTTGAGATTAATGAAACTGGTTTAAAGAATTATATCTTTTCAAAGTATATTTGAAATCAATATAATATAAATTCTCGATGAAGCAATAATAGAGATAAGAACAAGTAAAAATGTCAGATAACCCCAAAAAAGTATTTTTATTTAGTTTTGGAATATACAGGTTGTCCCACTTTGAATAATTATTCATTCCAAGGGGTTAAATCTGAAAAGAAAGAAGCATCAATTGAGCTATAAGAAAAAACTGTGTATACATTTTGGGGGGACACCTACTCAGGTGTGTAAGACGTTCTGGCTTTAATGAAACTTCAAAAGTAGAAATAAAAAACTAAAAGTATGCAGAACAGCATTTTTTTTAATCCTTTATTTTCAAATGCTGTTAAGATGCAATACTGCCCTACCCAGTTTGACTCAGTGGGTAGAGCGTCGGCCTGAGGACTGAAGGGTCCCAGGTTCGATTCTGGCCAAGGGCACATGCCCGGGTTACAGGCTCGATCCCCAGTAGGGGGTGTGCAGGAGGCAGCTGATCAAAGATTCTCATTTATGTTTTTATCTCTCTCTCCTTTTTCCTTCCTCTCTGAAATCAATAAAGAAATATATATATATATTTTTAAAAAGATGCAATACTACCCTTCAGAAGGAAACAAAACCCCACCCTGTTATTAACTGTTTAAAATATTTTGCTTTATTATTGATGGTTAATTCCTTGAGAATGAAACTAAATGTTTGGATTTTAAAGGCTTCTAGTTTAGGTCCTAGACTGATCTAAGTAGTCCAAGGAAATATGTAAAAATAAGCAAGAAAGTGAGCAGAATTAGATTGCTATCTCCTAGTTTAACAGTTTAGTGAGAATCTGAACCATATTTTATTGTGGGAAATGTAATTTTCAGATAATTCAGGTATCCAATACTCAAAAGCTAAAAATATTTACAAGAATCATAAAAAAATTAATAGAGAAAATTGGAGAAATCACTTAGTTATTAATTCAGTAAGGTTGAGTTGACCACTATCACGCAGATCAAGTGAGAGAACTCAGATCTAGGTCCTGTGCATCATATATCTTTGTTAAATTGAAGGGGAAGAACTAAAGAAAAGATAAGGAAGAACAAACCTACTAGAGGAATTTATGACCATCTATTCTTACTACCCTCTATTTGAACTGGACTCACTGTCAAGATATCAATTATTAAATTAAGCACCTACTATATGCTTTTACCTGTTTTGTTTTGTTTTTAACCCACTCTTTTATCCAGATACAACTGTAATAAAAGCATGAGATGATGTCAAGCAGACTAGGATAATGTTAATAGGAACAGAGAGGAAGAGATGGATAAAACATATTATAAAAGAAGTACAGACAAAACTTGATTAGATATATGGGCTATTTTCCTAAAGTATACACTCACCTGCTACCAGTATTAGTTAGCAATTAAAAGTGATATATCTCTGGTAGTTCTGTAAAGTTATAAGCAGCTCTTGTGGTTACTACCTTGGTTTAAAAAAATGGGGCACTCAAAAATAGGCAAAGAACTCAAATAGGCATCTCTCCAAAATTACAAAAATGGCCAGTAAACACATGAAAAGATGCCCAACATCACAAATATTAAGAGCAGCACTAATATTAAGGAAATGCAAATCAGAACCACAATGAGATATCACTTTACAACTATTAGGATGGCTACTATAAAAATAACAACAGATAATAAGTGTTGGTCAGGATGCAGAGAAAGTATAACTCTTGCGCACTGCTAGTGGTACTACAGAATCATACAGTTGCTATGGAAAACACTTGGGCAATTCCTCAAAAAACTAAACATAGAATTATCATCTAACTCAGCAATTCCATTTCTGGTATATACCCCAAAGAACTGAAAGCAGGGACATGAACAGATATTTGTACACCCCTGTTCACAGCAGTATTGTTCACAATAGCCAAAAAATACAAGTACCAGTAATGCAAATGCCCATCAACAGATGAATGAACAAAATGGTATATACACACATGCACACAATGGAATATTATTCAATTTTAAAAAGGAAATTCTGCCCTTGCTGGGTGGCTCAATTGGTTGAAGTGTTATCTCATACACCAAAAGGTTGGGGGTTCAATTCTGGTCAGGGCACATACCTAGGTTGTGATTTGATCTCTGGTCAGTGTATGTACGGGAGACAACTGATAGATGCTTCTCTCTCTCTCTAAAATAAATAAAAACATATCCTTGGGTAAGGATAAGAAAAAAAAAAGGAAATTCTGACACATGCTACAACACGGATGAACCTTGAAAACATTATGCTCAGTAAAACAAGGCAATTACAAAAGGACAAATAGTATGTGATTCCACTCAAATGAGGTGTATTTTAACACAAAAGAAATTATTCTAAAAAATGTGAACTATCATTTGATTCCTAATTAAGAACTAAGAATGGTATCATTTGAGGTTCTCTTACAGGACTTTCAATTTTTTTAAAAAAATATTTTTATTGATTTCAGAGAGGAAGAGTGGGAGAGATAGAAACATGAATGATGAGAATCATTTATCCGCTGCCCCTGTGTGCCCCCTACTGAGGATTGAGCCTGCAACTCAGCATCTTACAGGACTTTTAAAACATTAGATTACATATAATTTTGAATAGCTGAGCTGAGGGTAAGAGTGTGTGGGAGAGGGGGATTAGGAAGATAAAATAAGTAAAGCAGATAAGACTCAGGGAGCCTTGATGCTCTGCCAAATTCTTCCCCTAAGGTCAGGCAAATCACATAAACTCACTGAGCTTCAGAAACTTAATATTGGCCTGTAAACTAGTAGGAAATTTCTGAATGGAAAATAAAAATATGATTTGATATGTCAGTGTTTCCATTTACTCCTCACTATAATAAGGATGATAATATTGCCAGCTACTTCACGGGAGTATGCTTATGAGATAACTTAGAAATCCTTTAATGAACAGAAATGGCCAAATTCACATCGCATGTGACTCCTCAGGTGTAAATGGAGATATCTAAAATGATTATCCCCATTCTATGTATAGGAATGAACTACAAAGGGAGAAGAATCTTCTATATCCTCTTTGCATTCTCCCTTTCATTCAAGCCTATGCTCTTTTGTGTTCAACATTTATAATGATTACATGATAATTCACTATCACAGCATGGGTGAGTAGGAACATCACTCCACTACATGTATAAATATGGTCACATGTGAAAGCACCTATGTAACAATGAAGCCTCTGTTCTTTGTGACAAAACTGGTCAATACTGCAGCCAGTTATTGGACAACATATTTATAGTGTCAAAAGTTTCTTTATTAAAGATTAATAAAAAAAATGGCTAACGTATTCTTATAGAAGCAAAAAAGATATATTTGGGAATAATGACCCCAGAAGATAAACAGGCAAATATGAGATCTTCTTTGGGTTGAATAAAATGAGAAATGCCATAAAATTATTTCATTCCTAAATGGGTACTCTCAAAAATGAACATTAATAAAATATTCATTACTGTTACCTTCTGCAAGAAACATATAATTATGTGTATCATCACACCTACATACATACATAAAGTCCTTTAAAAGCGTCTATTGAAAGGGGCCAAATAGACATATCAGAATCCTATATAATAAAAGCCTAGGTGGTGTCACGCCCTTGCGTGACATCATCACAAGATGGCCATCACAAGATGGCCGGCAGGGGAGGGCAGTTGGGGGCAACCTGGCCGGCAGGGGAGGGCAGTTGGGTGCGACCAGGCCTGCAGGAGAGGGCAGCTGGGGGTGATCAGGCCAGCAGGGGAGCAGTTAGGCGTCAATCAGGCCAGCAGGGAATTGGTTAGGGGCAATCAGGCAGGCAGGCAGGCGAGCAGTTAGGAGCCAGCAGTCCTGGATTGTGAGAGGGATGTCCAACTG